GGGTAAGGTGGGAGAAGTACTCGGTAAAAAAATCGAAAGGATAGAGGCTAAGGTCTCAAATGTACTACACTGCCACTTAGGTATTAAATAAGATAGCACATGAAAGAACTTGCCATGTTTTAAGGGCCGAATAAACCATGGCTATTCTTCTTCTTTTCCCTCTGATCTGTTGGGCACATCATCTATATCATTTATTTGGAAAATAATCATGCACTGCCTTAGAACATCTATTGTGCTAGCAATTTACTCTTAGATTTTTGTCTTCCCAGAGTCTACACTTTATTCTCCCAACTAAATGTAAGTTCCTAGAGAGCACGGTCTGTATCTTATAATTAACTGAATACAACAGAAGGCTAGACATTCAGCAAACACTTTAAAAATGTGTGGAGATCTTGCCTCAAGAATCCAAAATCACATTCGCAAACATTTAGAGAAAGTTCTTTGTGTAAGAAATAGGGTTATGTATTTTTTTTCTTAAAATAATTCATGAGCATGTTTGCATCTAAATGTTAACAGAGGAGCATGTGGTTCACAAAGACACCCAGATTATTAAAAAGAGATTTTCAATGTATCATTTTTTAAATCCTGAATCACAACCACCCGAGTGCAAATATATTTCAAATTTTATGCCGGCCTCCTATCGCAAAGTGCTAATTGAATCGATTTCCTGGAGCTGCATCACTAATAAATAGAGTGCACCACAGATGTGGGATTCTCGAGTCAAAAATACAGAACATGAATGTTTTGCTGAGAGAAAATGGTGCGTTGGAAAATGTCTAAGAATCCAAGAGAGTCGCAAAGTTTGGTCTTTAAACATGGAGCTGCATCACTCTGGCAAACAGTGTGTTCCTCAAAAACTTAACAAAAGAACTCCCCTATGACCCAGCAGTAGCACTGCTAGGCATTTACCCAAGGGATACAGGAGTGCTGATGCAGAGGGGCACATGGACCCCAATGTTCATAGCAGCACTCTCAACAGTAGCCAAAACACGGAAAGAGCCTAAGTGTCCGTCAACTGATGAATGGATCCAGAAGATGTGGTTTATCTATACCATGGAATACTACACGGCAATGAGAAAGAATGAAGTCTGGCCATTTGTAGCAATGTGGATGGAACTGGAGGGTGTTATGCTAAGTGAAATAAGTCAGACAGAGAAGAACAGATACCATATGTTTTCACTCGTATGTGGATCTTGAGAAACTTAACAGAAGACCATGGGAAAAGGGAAGGGGAAAAAACAGTTATAAACAGAGAGGGAGGGAGGCAAACCATGGGAGACTCTTGAATACTGAGAACAAACTGAGGGTTGATGGAGGGAGGGGGGAAAGTCAGTGATGGGCATGGAGGAGGGCACTTGTTGGGATGAGGACTGGGTATTGTATGGAAACCAACCTGACAATAAACTATATTATAAAAAATTAAAATAAAAACTAAACATGGAGCTGCAGAGTGAGCACTTGAGGGGGCTGGATGACAGAAGGCTCTTTCTCAACCTCACTCTGGATGAGGCCGCCAGCACACCAGGATGTGCCAGCTGTCTTTGCGTATGGGTGAATGTGCCCACACTGGAGGGGCACATACTTCACCACTTGTGTGGCCTCAGGCCACTAACTTTTTGCACAGCCTGAGTTTGCTCAACTGTAACTGTAGAATAAGTAGCTTCTACCCAAGTGTTTAGTGAAGATTCAGTAAAATGATGTATGCTGAGGACTTCACTCAGTGTTGGAAACGTAGTTCATATCCAGTAAATGATAGTTTGCTATATCTGCTGCTCTAAGGGGCTGGGGGATGGACAATGGGAAGAGGAAGAGATGACCATCTCAATGACCTGGAGAATGGCAGCTCTGCTGCTTGTACCCAAGTTCACAGTCTTCTTCCTGTAGGTCAACAGAAGTGGCCCTTTTGCTAGAGCAGGAACATGCTGATGGCACTGAGGAGGACTCTACCCATGAGTGCTTTGAGAACTAAGGTCAGAAGGCTTCATATGGGTTCCCCTATAGTCCCACGTCATTGCCATGTCAGGGCATTCCTCAAAGCCAAATTTGTTTAGAGTTCCCTGTGGACTGAGTACTTCAATAGAACCTTCTTGTTTCATTTCCGAAGTGAAGACATTTTTGGGAGCAGGTAACAACAGTGTGAGTCAAAAGGACTTAAGCCATAAAGACAGATGATTGGCTTCCACAGCTGAGGCTGCCCTGTGGTAGAGCAGTGAAGAGATCTACTCAGCACTCTGCTGGGACTCTCCTGGCCCTTCCCTCCTTCATGCGTCACCTTTGTCATCCCTGGTCTCCTTACAAGATGGCTGGAGCAGCTCTTGGCCTTCCATCCTCACATAAACATCTCCAGGGAGGAGAGCAAGAGTAGGTTCCAGAAACTTTCTGGAGAGAAAATGAAAGTTCTTTTCCCAAAGGCTGCTGGTTAATTTTTCCTCTCAAGTCATTGGCCTAATTTGGTCTTATGATTATTCCTGGGCCAGCCTCTGTGGTTTACTGGATGCAGGTACTGATTGACTTCATCTTGGTACTGGGGGTCCTAGGTGGACACCTGATTCAGTCACTGGAGCAAGAGCAACAGGAAAATCTGATTCGCCGTGACTAAATAGAATCCATCCCTGGAGTTCAAGTCCACTCCCTCAAACCTCTGGGCTGCCGCTACAAGAGAGCAGAGGTGAGATGGATGTAGGAAAGACACCACAGTGCCCAGTACTCTGCTGGCATTAACTCACCATCTCTTTCAGTTCAGGAAACAGTTATGAAATGTCTGCTGGGTGCCAGGCAGGGTGCAGGACGTTGGGATGACACAGAGGCCCTCTGCTATTGAGAGGAATAAGTGAGCCAACTTATGCAAAGTGCCTGGTGCAGCCCTCGGCCCCTAATACCTGCTCAGTGTTGTCTTCATTAAAATGAATAATGCATGAGTGCCCCCTGCCATCCAGGCGAGAGACTTAAACAAGTCCATTCTAGCAGCGTGCGAAGGGCAGCAAGGGTAAGCCGGCGGGTGGCAGAAAGGAGAGAGGTCACACAGGAGCATGCCGAAGGCCCGACCGAAGAAGCTTCCAGCCGCTGATTCCTAACCTTGACTTCACGTTTAACACACCTGAGGGGCTTCTAAAACTCCCCACACCAATTAAGTCACAATCTCTCAGGGCAGGACCCAGCACCAGAATCAGTTTGACTTTTTAAAGATCCCCAGATGATTAAAATGTGCAGCCAAGGTTGAGAACCACAGTAATAGGCTACTGAGGACATAAAGCACACACCTGTGAACCATTAGCAATGCTGCGTTGTGAGGGGATAAGAAAAGGAAGTCAGTGCTCCAAGGCGCAGGGCAAGGAGAAGACACGGTGAGTCGGGGGCGCGGGTCATGGCGAGAGCATGGTAGGCAGGATCATGAAAGGTTTCTGTGTGCAGCAGGGGCCAGAGGTTTTAAAGGATCTTGAGGGACCATGGGGCTTAACTAATATAAGCAGTTTGGAGGTGGGCTGTGAAGAGGAACAAATGTGAATAAAATATGCGTGCAAATGTAGAGCGTGTTCAGTGTGAACTGAATCAGGAGAGAAAAACTACACCACAATTTCATCAGGTAAATATAAAGAATTATTAACTAACAGAGAATTGGAATAATAAAGATTAGCCACTGAGAAGTAGAGAGAACTCTGAAGAACAATGGAAGGCAGGTATTAGTATCTCCTACCCCAGGGCTGAGGTAGAGTGACCAGGGGAGAGCCCTTCACCCCCTCCAGCTAAGACCCAGGCTCTGCTGGCACAGAGTGGCTTGTTGAGGGCAGAGAAGACACTGTAGACTTCTAGTCTCCTAGAACTTGTCAGAACTTCGCCCTCAGTGGTGGTGTCTCACTGGAGCACACTTCCCTGGGGAAGCACTCCAGGCGCCCTCAGAGAGAGGGCAGGAGAGCCAGGAGGCAAAACCCAGAATTGTCCCTTACAAGCAAGCAGAGGCTCAGAATTTGCAAAACCTTCCCAGGGAATTAGCAAAGCTGGAGTGCGCCCCACATCCCTGTTTCTTAGATGTCTTGCTACCCTTGTGAACAAACAGAAGAGCAAGATCAAACCTAGTCTGTCAGTGTAGGCTGCCCAGGGATGGCCTGTGGGGAAGGCCTCCTGGAGGAGGTGAGTCTTCAAATAAACCTCAGGGGAGCTTTATAGAGACCTGGAGAAAATGGGAGGAGAGGACTTGCCACCAGCAGCATTAAATGGTCTCACATGGTGACGAGCAGGCCTGAGCTCAGGACTCGGCCCAGCCTGTAGAGAGAACAGTGGAAAATGAGGAAGCAATGAGAAGGAAGTCAGAGGTAGAACAGAATCAAGGAGGCCCTGATATGCCACAGAGCTTGAATTTAAGTATGAATTTAATATGATTGAGTATGAAATCAATTCATTGCAAGAGAGCCAGAGGCTGTGGATGTGGGGCTCCAGGATTCCCTGACTGCCTGCCAACCTCTGCAGAATGCAGGGAAGCAAATGCCAGCTTTGGAGTCGGACAGACTGGGACCAGAGTAGCATCTCCAGCGCTCAGCTGTGTTTCCTGGGACAAGGCCCTCAACCTTGCTGAGTCTCGGGGTTCTTCAGGTATCAGTGGGAAACAAGGATTTCTTCTCTGCAGGTTTGTTAAGATAAAGTCCCTAGCAGACAGCCGGACACGCAGCAGGCCTGGATCAATGGCCGCTTTCTTCTCCCTCCTGCTTTTACTCTCTAGGCCCTTTCTGTCTTCTAAAGCAGTTCATGCCTCTGAAGACAATGGTTTAACATTCAGGAATTCCAGGATTTCTAAATCAGGCGCAGCTGGGGAGCGCCAAGGTATTGGCGGCAGGTGATATCCTCTTGTTGACAGCGCGGCTGCTGAGCTCGCCGCTCCGAAGGAAAAGCTCAGGTTGAGGGGACACAGTCACTGCACCTTCGGTCCCCTGGCCAGATGGTGCCTTGAAGCGGTGTTTCATTCCTCCTCTCCACAGGGCAAATGACCGTGCTTCTGTCACTTCTAGGAGGAGAAGTCACCAAACCGCGGTTTGCTCAGTTCTTCCACGGCAGCCTGGCCAGTCTCACCATCCGCCCTGGCAAAATGGAGAGTCAGAAGGTGATTTCCTGCCTGCAGGCCTGCAAGGAGGGGCTGGATATTAATTCCCTGGAAAGTCTTGGCCAAGGAATAAAGGTAAGGAAGGAGCCGGCATCACAGCCAATAAGACATTGATTTATGGGGCAGTGGCTGCCCGGTGCCAGTGCACTCTGGGAAATGGAGTCCTCACCTGTCGAGTTGCCCAGAGATGGTCCGGTGGCAAAGGTGCTGGCACACTGGGGGGATTAGTGACCGTGACTTCTATGATGGACTTGAGCTGTGTCCTGAAATTCCTAGACGAAGCCCTCAGGTATAATCAGTTCACTACACAAAAACCGGCACATGTTCAATACCTACCAGAAGGGAATTGTTGTATTTCAGCTGTTCCTGGGTGGGTTGGTTGCTTTGTTTTATTTGCCGAAGGATCAGAAGCAGCATGCAAGGATGTATTTTCAAAAATATTTAAAAATAGAAAAAAATTTGGCCGAGTTAAATATAAATTAGGAAGGAAGGTCAGCCTGGGGTGGGCTGGAATTAAAAAGCAGATATGGAGGTCGCTGGGTCTCATGCTGTGAAATTGAAGCACAGATTGGGCTTCGAGCAATCTCTGGCAAAGGGAATGTGAGCAGATTCATGCAAAATAAAAACATTCATGGGACCCAAAAGAATCAAAGCTGTATTCTGAGAAAAGCACCTCCTGAGGGGCAAGATATGGCTGACTATCCTCAGCGCCCCTCCCTGCCCCCACCCCGGACAGGCAGGGGTAGTTCTGGCCTCACCTGGGCCTCAGGACCTCCGGCCAGCAGGGAGCCTCTGGGAACCTGAGCAGAGAGCTGGGTGAATATCACTGTAGCCCCTGCTCGATCCTAACGGACCCTTACTAGGGGTCTACATTGGGAGCAGGCAGCCCACCCTCTACCTCCTGGAGCACAGGACAGCCCACAAGCCGTCACCCCTACCACACTGTGGAGGCTTCCTTTATGGGCCATTTCCCAAGGATGGTGTGACCAGAGCAGAGGGCCCCCCTCCCCCCCCCAACCCGCCCTGTCCTGCACCTGATGTGGCCCGTGCATCCTTACCTGCCTCCTCTGCTGGGCCTACCTCTCCTGCACCGGGAATCACTCCTCCAGCAGACAGCGCCTTTATTTTCACTGTCAGTGGGGTTTGTGGGGCTCTGCCGTGGGGAGCCCTGGAGGGACTGGTGAGCTGAGCACACCATGCTTTTCTTTATGCTGCAGTTGCTTCAGCCACCATGTCACAGATGCCCACGTATGGGTTCTGGGCTGGATGAGGGAGACACAAAACTGAACATTCCCAGCCTTTTGGCTTTTTGGAAGTCAGTGGCCCAAGTGGACGTGTATAATCCAGTGTGGTAACTGTCATGATGATTATGAGCCTTGAGGCTCCCCAGGTGCCAGACATGGTTCTAAATGCTTTACAGATGTTAACTCATGGAAGCCCAGAACAACTCTGTGACAAAGTTAGCATGAATATTCCTATTTTGCACATGGGGAACTGAGGACTTCAAGAGAAAAGAAACTTGTCTAAGATCCCAGAATTAGTAATGAGCAGAGCCAGAATTTAAGCCCAGGTGGTACTGCTCCAGAATTCCAGAACCTGGGGAACAGCAGTTAGGGAAGGCTTCCTGGAGGAGGTGAGGTCTGAACAGAATGTTTGAAGATGGGTAGGAATCGACCAGAAGAAAGGCAGGGGAGGGGAGCTGGACAGTAACTCTAGGCAGATCTCCGAGGATGAGTGATGGCAGAGAGCTGCGGAGTCCTGCACTGTGCACTGGGACTCCATGGCGGCCAGCGGTACAGTGCCCAGATTGCAGGAGGAAAGGTAGAAACTGTGGTCAGAGCTACGCACAGGCCACGTCATGGGGTCCCATAAACTATGTTCACATGTTGACATGTTTTCTTCTGTCAGCCACAAGGGAGCCACTGACGGGCTGTAGGCTCACCTTGGAGACTGGATCAGAGGGGGAAGGTAGGAGCAGTGCACAGACAGGGTAAGGCAAGAATGGCTTTCCAGAACATTAAAAACACACACACAGGTGCACTCAGTAGTCCGTCAGCTGTCATTGAAGGAGGTGCCCTCAGTAGTCAGTCAGCCGTCATTGAAAGAAACCTTCAAGACTGCCTCATATTGGAAAGGCCAACTTTCCCACGGTCTACTTCATGTCACATTTCATATTGGTTCCCTCACATGCGGAACCTGGGGTTTGATCCTCCACCAACTCTTGGTGTTGTTTCCATAGCGTTTTGTCAGCCCAGTGACGCAGATATGTGTCCTCCAACCCTCCCCTCTCTGTCTGAGTCTGGGTTTGCTCCCTGCCTCTGAGTGGATCTGCTCTGCTGTGGAGCATCCCGTGAGACCCTGGTTTCAGGACTCCAGCACTACAAGTAAACCAGAGATGCTGGACTGAAAAGCCACACATTCTCAGGATTATAAACGAAGAGGCACGGCAGTCTCTGCAGAGCAGCCAGAGCCTGTGAAAAGAGGGGTGTGAACTAAGTGGCACACACCGCCGTGTGTGGAGAGGGTGGGTTGGCTCTGCTGATTTCTCAGGATGCCACCTGTTGATAACCAGTCACCGCAGAGGACCCTTTCCCATCCTTCCAGCACAGCTGGCAGGAAGTAGAGCACTGCGGGGAAGTTAATGATAAGACACACAATTTACGGCATACCCCCTGGGGGCTATTCAAAGTTTATTATCCCTACTCCTCACAACAGATGAAATGTTACGGCCCCATTTCAGAAGTAAGGAGCCTGGGACTCAGGGACTTGCCCAAAATAAGTCTGTGCTCTTTCCTCCACACCAGCAACTCAGAGTAGAAGGCGTTCTGGAAAATTATTTAGACTTCCTTCCTCCATTTATCCTTTCTTCCACTTACCCTTTCTCCATTTATCCCTCATTTCATTCCTGAACATTGACTATTTTCCTTTTTACCTGTGCCTGGCCGCCTCCCTCCTTTCTGGCTAGTCAGAGGAAGTGAAGTCCTCCTGTAATTGACACAACTTTCTGTCTGCTCATGGAACTGGCTCCAGTTCCTCTTTGCACTTGTTTTACCCTGGCTCATGCCAATTTCTGAATATTTGTCCAGCATGGCTGGAGTCATTGAATGGCTGGGGTGATTTCTGTCTTGAACCCATACATGACACTGGAGTAGCCACCTTCCTGAAGAACCTCCTGTTCTGATTTTCATAACGTAATCCCTGCCAATTTGTCCTTTCTACCATGTGGAAGAATGGAAAAGAGCAAGAACTTTGGGACAAGTCCCTCCCAGGTTCAAATCATAGTAGGAATATTTACTAGCTGGGTGACCTTGGGCAAAGTAATTTAATCCTTTAAGCCTCAATTCCCTCATGTATAAAGTATATTTTCTGGTGATGTGGGAACTGAATTCTATGTATAGGTTATATATACACACATATGTATATATGCATATATATACATAGAGAAATACAAACATATAGAAAGAGAAAAGATACATGTATGTATAGATAAGAAGATAAATACAGATATAGATATATAGATATAGATCTTCCTTAGGAAACCTAATAAATAGGCTCTCAGACCTAATAAACAACATCACAGTTCCCTTCTCCAACTGGGCTGGTCTTGTACTTGGCCTTGCTGTTGCCCCAGCTTCTTTTGAAAGGTAAACCCGGGTGACACTTGTAGCAGAGGAGCCTCGAGTGTGGCAAATCTTCATCTGGCCCAACCCATTAGGGGCTACCAGGTGTCCAAGTGAATGGCCAGGTGCCTGGAGTGCCATGGCCAGCCTTCCCTGGAGGAACAGACCTAGGCTTTGGACAGGGATTTCACCGATGTCCCTCTAGGAGAACTGATGATTCTCAAGGGCCATAGCTTTGGGGATGTCGAGTAGCTTCTTAGCTCAAAGAAAGAAAGCACCATGGCCACAGCACAGCTTCCTAAAGGAAAGTGAGTGCTGTCACCCTTTGCTGGGTCCCCAGGAAGTCATCCCTGTGCGATGCTAATGCCACTCTATGGCTTACAAAGAGACCTAACCTCAGTCATGCCACAAAGTTGGTAACACTACAATTTAATTTTATTTATGTTTTATATTTGAGAGCAAGAGAGAGCAGAGGAGGAACAGAGAGATGGAGACAGAACCTGAATTTTTTTTTATGTTTAGTAACACTGCAATATAAAGCAAACAAAACAGGGGCACCTGAGTGGCTCAGTTGGTTAAGCATCTGTCTTCAGTTCAGGTCATGATCTCACAGTTGGGGAGTTGGAGCCCCACGTCGGGTTCTGTGATAAGAGCTCATGCTCTGTCTCTCTTTCTCTCAAAAATAAACAAACATTAAAGAAAACCCTACATTGATAGAAGGTTTTATTGATCCTGCAAGAACTTTATTGCTAGGCCAGTGCCCACCTTCATGTCCGGTGGCAGCCCTGGGGATGCTAGGGTCGCCAAACTAGGGTATTAACTGGAGATCCAACACTTAGCCTAAACCATCCCCTCCTCAGGTGGGTGCAGGGGGAATGTGCCCTCTGCCAGTTGCCACAGGATGCTGCCCATTACATCCTCTGGAAGAACTATTGATGTTCTTGTTGAGCCCTTGTGTGAAGCTTAGAGATCAGCCACCTCTGCAGGGCTTATCATTCCATCTAATTTTCTCATGTGCTAGACCCTGTGGTAACCGTAAGGAAAAGTCTGTTGACCCCGCCCTCGAGGTGCTCAGAGTTGGCTGTGGAAGACAGATAGCAACAGCACCCTGACTCTGCTATAGCACAGATGGTGCAGGGCAGGGTTGGGGGGAGGTAGGGAGGCAGAAAAACATGTGGGAACAGAAGTGGTATTTTAGGAGAATGAACTTGAATCTCCGGATGACTTGTGAAACACTCAGAACAGGGCAGCTCTATGGCTGAGTACACTAAGCTACTGAGTCGTCCACAGCAAGGAAGAAGCCAACTGAGAGGAAGACTTCACCTGCATCACCTGCTCACATATCGAGGGGCTCCCACACCCAACAGAGGGCTTGGAGCTTGTGACCAGATCTCCCAGATCAGAGAGACCCTGCTCAGGGCATTGAGGGCTGAAGGAAACTGGATCATAGAGAAAAAAAATCAGTGAAGGCTGCAGTACCTGTGTGGGCCAAGACTCAGTGCAGAAATAATTACAGTGTTAAGAATTATAATAAAAGCTATCTAGTATTGAACACCGTTTTACACACTAGATTCATTATATACATTTTCTCACTTAAGTCCCAGACAGGTATTAATATCCCCCTTACTTTAAATGAGGAAATAAAGTCTAGAAAGGGGAAGTAAATAGTCCAAAATTGTTATATTCTGTGTCTGTACTGCCACTTGGGTACTGCAACCCACACAGCCCATGATCTTTTCAGGATGCTGCCACAGCCTTGGGTAAGCAAGAACCCTACCTGGGAAGAGCTCGCTTTTTCCAAATGGGCTTAAAACGATTGCAGTAGCAAATAACTCCAAATCCCTATGGTTTAATGCTTAAAAGTTTATTTTTCTCTGACATCAAGCCAGGGAGGCAGTGTGGGGTTTCAGCCTAGAACACCATAGGCACCAAAGGGGAGAAAGAAAAAGGCTGGCGCATTCCGTGGGGCTTTGACTGCCCCAGCCCAGAAGTCCAGCCTCACTTCCTCTCACACCTCATTGGCTAGATGTGGTCACGTGGTAGGAGGCCTTTGCCAGTGTAGCCTCCAGGATGCTGAGGATGCAGAGGCGAACAGGGTTTAGGGAGCACTGATAATGGCTCCCACAGAGCCAGGACTATGGGGACAGTGACGGAAAAAAAAAGTCCTTTTGGAGAGTAACCTGGAGATAATATGGAGTAGAATGTGGGCCAAGGGGGAACATTCACCCATTCATCTGATGGGATTACAGGGCACTAGGGTTAGATTCTGGATTCAGGGATAGGAGTTCGGAGTCCCTGTCCTCCGTGAGCTTCCGGTCACTGTACTATAATAATTGTGCTGCCATTTCATAAGCACTAGAGGGGCCCAGTAGGGATGTAAATGAGCAAATTTGGGATGGCCTCAAGGGGGAGATAACAAAATACTCCAATGATACTTGATGATAGTTGAAGGAGTCAAAGTGGAAGCTATTAGCTGGCTAAGGGCCACACTGCAAGGACTGTATGCCGGTCAGTTTCATTAGTAGTGCTCATGGGACATCTACTTCCCTTTACCGTCCAGACACAGAACAGGAAACTCTTAAAAAGGCATCCAAGTCAGATCAGGGAAAAGTTAATATAGATGGATATTTCCTGAAACCCATGAAAACATACTCAGTCTCCTTAATGGTAAGATTAAACCTACACTAAATGGTAAATTAAAACTACATGAAAGTAGCATTTGTCACCTATCAGGCCAGCAAAAATCTCAAATGACAGCATATTCTGTTGTTGGGGTTATGAGAAAAGAAAAGCATTCCCACACACTGGAAGAGGGAGTGTGCGTGCGTGTGTGTGTGTACACACCCATATATTTTCCCTAGCAAGGGGGAATTGGGCAGCATTTGTCGAAACATAAAGTGCATATACTGTTGGACCTAATAACTTCACATGGAGGGAATTATCTCGTACATATATATTTGCATACATATGTGCACAAGATTATTCATTGTGGAATTATTAGTGAAAGAATAGAAAAAAGCCAAATGTCCACAAGAAACTGGTTTAAAAAATTAATTTACACAGTAGAATATTATACAACTATGAAAAAGAGGTAGTTTATGATGTGCTGATACAGAAAGATCGCTAAGATTTGAGCTAAGTGAAGAAACAAAGTACAATAAAGTATGTAAAAAGCTACATTTGGTTGAAGACAGGAGAAAAAAGGAAGTTTTTTAAATAGTTTATTGTCGAGTTGGTTCCCTTATAACACCCAGTGCTCATCCCCACAAGTGCCCTCCTCCATGCCCATCACCCCCCCTCTCCTCCCCCACACCCCATCCGCCCTCAGTGTGTTCTCAGCATTCAAGAGTCTCTCCTCTCATGGTTTGCCTCCCTCCCTCTCCCCCCCCCCCCATATTCCTGAGAATGCTTAAGTATAACTTCCAGGATAGGCTAAGTTATGATGCAGTAACAAGTAACTTAAACATTTCGGTGGCTTATACAATTTTTTTGTTGTCATTGTTCACACCTGATGTCCATCATAGATTGGCTTCAGCTCTGATCCATACAACCAGCACTGTGAGACCAGGCTGATGGACCAGGCCCTAAAGGAACTTGACAGGTTTCACGGCAGAGGGAAAGGGACATGGCAAACCATGAACTAGCTGTGAAGTCTTCCACATGAGTGCGAACCAAATAATACTTCTGCCTACACTTCATTGGCCAAGTCACATGACCGCTACTGAGTACAAAAGAGAAAACTATGTGTATCTTACAGGGAATAGTTCCACAGGTCACATAAGCAAGCCTACTGACAACAGGTCACCCATGTATAAGACTCCCACTGGGAGGGGAAGCAAGTAATCATGAATATGCAATTTGCCACTAAGAAAGTAATAGAACAGTGACTACTTGTGGGATGGGATATTGGAAACTGGGTAAGATATGAATAAGATGGACACTTTCACTTAGTACATATATATATATATTTGAATTATGTGAGTATATTATCCAAAAAATGTTGGCATAAAAATATATCCAGATCAGGGGTGCCTGGCTGGCTCAGTTGGAAGAGCATGTGACTCTTGATCTCAGGGCTGTGAGTTCAAGCCCCATATTGGGTGTAGAGATAGATGGATGGATGGATAGATAACCAGATCTCCTTTTCCTCTGACATGAACTTTGGATACATAATCTGAATCCACGGATAAGCTCCTGACATCTTACTGACAGCAGTTCCTAATAATTCCTGCTCAGAAGCATGTGAAGATCAGGAAGTCAGACCAGCACCATATCAGTTCTCCATGCTCCATGTGGAGAAGAGTGACTGCTAGGGCTCTGCAGAGAGAAGCAGAAGTCTGTATCTGGTTTATCGGCCTTGGGGACTCAAGTGACTTGGTGGGGAGCATCGTAGCCCCTGTGCCTTCACCAAGTGTGGGATACCAGCAATTGTGAGTGGAATGAATAGATCATAGACTTGGGGCAGCTGGCAAAAGCGTAAACAGCAAATGAGCAAAACCCTTGGGAAGGCAGAGTGGAGCACCAGGAAAAAAAGGCTGGAAATCAGATCTAAGAAGGAGCTTTAACGTCAGAAGCTAAGTAAATGAGTGTGAGTCATGAAGAGGAGCACAGGGTGAACCAAGGAGAAGTTCAAGGCCAAAGACAAGACCAGTGAAAGGAACAAAAGCCCCAAGTTTCTAGGCAGTCAGCTGAGGGGGCAGGCTGTCTAAGGGCTGAAATGCTGGTCACGACCCCACAGTGGCATGTAGCATGGGCCACCGCACCAAGGGCTAGATCCTAAGAGACTTGTGATGGGGATTCAGAATGCTCTGCTGTGGCTTGGGAGTTTATATCCCCGAGAGGTCTTAAGGGGAGGCCCAGAAGCCACCGGGGATAGCAGGAATTGTTTGAGGTGTTAAAACAGTCATCTGTGTTCATGGCTGCTGCACTTAGAGATGCTCTGGAGACACCAGGTCTTTGTGGCCTGTCCATGGAGATGGAGGTCTCCATCATTGATCATTCTCCCTCATGACACCCCCTTTCCTCCTGTAGTACCACTTCAACCCCTCGCAGTCCGTTCTGGTGATGGAAGGTGACGATATTGGGAACATCAATCGCGCCCTCCAGAAGGTCTCCTACATCAACTCCAGGCAGTTCCCGACGGCAGGTGTGCGGCGCCTGAGAGTCTCTTCCAAAGTCCAGTGAGTAGACAGGTGCTGGTCAACTAGGGGCCCAGCCGAGGTGGCAGGGATGGTCACTGAGGAATGCTTCCTGGCAAAACAGAATTCACCTTTCTTCAGCTATTGTCAATTTCTCTGCTGTCCTTGTGAGGATGTCCCAGTGGATCAGTGTTTTCTTGTTTTCTTCTTAAAGAAAATGTTCTATTGCTTTGGAATGCCAAATCCAGCATTCTCTATTTCATTCAGGATCAAATGTAGTACTACTTTCTGTAAATTCTCAGAAAGCTTGGTTTTAAGTGGTCTGATTTCAGGTTACAGTAGCTGGTGTGTACATAGTAGGTGCTTGACAAATGTTTATTGAATTGGATTCACTTAACCAACCCAGCTTTGTCGAGAGTTCCTAAAAGTCAGGAGTATGCCAGAGAAAAAGAGAGTGTGGTTCTTGTCCCCAGAGATCAGAGTTCAATCAAGGAAATGAGACTGTTTATTAATGAAGCTTGTGGATAACTCCCTTCTTGGCCCGTCAAGTCATTTCTCAGCCACAGCAACTGCCTGGGAGGGCAGCAAGGAAGGGACCCCAGAAAAACACCTGAGAGATGGAAGTAGAGTCACCTAGCCCTTGGAACCGGGAGAAGAACCCAGAAGAACAGGAACAAGGTTGGGAAAGATGAGGCTGCTGACTGCCACGTTACTAGGGCCTGGGAGAGGTGCCAGGCTAATTAGATTAGGCCACAATTAGATTGAATAATTTTAGTGACAGAGAAGGTGCTTCCACCTTCACACTAAGGGCCACTCTTGCAGGCCCGCGATGGGCAGCAAGCACCTCCAGGTCAGCTCTACACTGCAGTCACATAGAGGGACCAGGCTGGCCCATCTCCAGCTCTGAAACCAGGTTTCCATAAACCGACGAGGGGCAGGGTGCCTTTTGGAGTTGCTGCAGCAAAGGCCAAAGTCAGGAGCAGGAGCCCACCACCACTCCCACGTCTGGCCCACCCCAAAGAAGATGTGGCTCAGCATGATGTCCACGCAGACTGCACTGCCCTCAGGAACTTTCCTAAGGCATGCAAGGTGATGGCTGCCACCAGCTGGGGTCACCCAGCATTCTCAGAGCATCCATCTGAGCTGTGATTGTAGCCTGGGTCTTTGGCCTAGATGAACAACAGAGTGCCAGTGACTTGTATACCTGATGGAGTCTGATGAGGGTGTGGGCTCTGCCAACACTTATTGTGCTCCCACCATGATGCAGGCTCTGGGGTGGGTCTCTTTTCTGTATGTCATCACACTGAATCCTTATTACTATGAGGTAATTAATATTGTCATCCCCATTGTATAGGTAGAGACACTGAGGTTCACAGGAATCGCACCTTGCCCACAATCACCCAGCCCAGTGATGGCAGAGCCAGGCCATGGACCCTTATCTGACTTCCCAGGCCTTGCTTGTGTTGTCACACCATTCTGCCTTCTGGGTATTTCCATGGCCGTCCATCAGGAGAAAGGAACGTGGTCAGCAGCACTCAGCCGCACCCCTGCAACAGGGACGCTGTGAGATGGCCTCATAGAGAGAAAGCATACACAAGTGCAGGAGAGTTTAGCGCTGGCATCTCAGCAAGCTGCCGGTACCCAACCAGTTAGACAACAATTTGCTTACCAAATCCTAATGCCCATACGAAGCAGTTGCTATCTAATTGATGTTGCCACTGATTACTTTGTTGAAGGATAATTAAAGGTTTAACAGTTACTTGTAGCTGGTATAGAAGGTTCCCATTTCTCCCAGAAGCTGATCTTCCTAAGCCCCTAGATTGCTATTGGCTTTGACTATAATGTGGCTTTAAATCTGAATACCTATTGACGCTGTCAGAGACTTGTAGGCAGCCAGGATACCTTGTCGAGAACTAGAGATGGTTTTGTGGATCCTCATCCACAGCTGTGCTATGGATGGTTTCGTCGCTCGCTCGTCAGTGCCATGACTGCAGCTGTTTTCCCAGGTGCTTTGGAGAAGATGTGTGCATCAGTGTCCCCGACGTGGATGCCTATGTGATGGTGCTACAGGCCATAGAGCCCCAGATCAGCCTCCACGGCACCGACCGCCTCTGGAGGCCCGCAGCCCAGTTTGAAAGTGCTAGAGGGGTGACCCTCTTCCCCGACATCAAGATTGTGAGCACCTTCGCCAAAGCTGAGGCCCCGGGTGAGCCAAGGGCCACAGGTACAGGTGCACACTGGGTTGTGGGGTGGAGGCCTTCAGTCCTCACAGCCCCATCGAGTCACACTTGAGGACAACAGCACTTTTCACCACAGCAGGGAATCTCTAATAGCAAAGCAAAAAACCTGGAAATAACACAGATAAGTAACAGGGGAGAAATGAACTGCTTGGCAAACTGGGGTCTGCCCATATACCCATGTGATATGATGTTGAAGGGAGGGCACTTATACCAAATGGTGAACAAAATAATGCAAGATTAAATTACAGAGTACCTACACATACCCAGAAAAATGCCAAGAAGAAAATGCTAATGCGAACAGTGCTGTTCTCCAAGAACTGTAAGAGCCAATTTGTCTCTGCTCCCATTCAGTTTGCTGCAAGTGCAAAAGGTTCTATAGTGAGCATGTACTGTTGTGATAATCAGAAGAAAAGCTGAAGAGGCACAAAGAAAAAATCTAGCTGCACCTTAATCCACACATGGTAAAAGTCAGGACCTATTCAGCAGCATTGGTCTCAGCTCCCCTGAAACTTCCTGATTGTGCTTTCCAACACGTCCATCATTGGGAGGGCTATCTGGCGGAGGTGGAGTAATTTGAATTATCTGCCAGGGAGAAACCCTCAGTTGCACAGAAAAGCTATAGCGCATTCAGCTGGCAGAGAGTGGCGGGTGACAGGAAGGATAAAGAAAGAAGGAAGGGAAACCCAGGGCCCAGATCTACAGGGGAAATACCTGTTTAACTATCATTTGGTGGCCCCCTCCAGGAGCATGCTTGCAGCTCTCTCTCTCCCCCTCCCAAAGCTCTGCTAATGATGTGCTTGTGGCAGTGGGCCTGAGTCCCTAACGGGCTGCTCCAGTAACAGTCCTAAATCCTCATTGCCTTAAACCACCCTCCCCCCCAGCAAATGGGGTCCCTTAAAAAGCAGCCCTTCTTAGCTCACAAAAATAGATGGTTGTCTTACCACATGTCCTGGCAGGGTCATTTCCTAGTTATACTCCAAGATGCTCTTGGTCCTGTGGTCTTCCGCCTTCCCCTCATTTGTAGCTACAATCAGAGAGGAAAAGCTACAATCAGAGAGGAAAAGGAAGGGCCTCTGACCGCCATGGTGGCAGGCTGTAACTGAGAGTGCCTGAATGCGCTAGGCCTGACACTGGCGCGCAGGCAGTGCCCAGGAAAGCAGTCATCTGGGTCTCTATCTCACTTTCTGTTTATAAGAGGTGCCAGCAGAGCATATAGCCACGTGCCTGAGAGCTCTTATTGGTACTTTGTAAATACTACTTTTGTTGTGTGTAGAATAATCATTAGTATGGGTGCCTTCAATAAGCGGACTAATGGCATTTGCCACCAGGCTTCAGTGACCCACCCCAGCATCACCATCCGCCCCTACGGACTCCCTCCTCCGTGTGCTGCTTCATTGCCAAAGACATGCAGGTTCCCCATGCACACCCCTCTCCCTCACGCCTCCATGGCCTCACCTTTACTCATGCTGTAGCCTCTGCCTGGAAGGTCCCTCTCCCTCCCCATCCATGTTACTCTCCCCTCCCCTTCCGCTCTGCCCCCTAGTCTGGGCTAGCTTTCCTGCTCTGTAAGCCCCCAACAACCCCCTGTAACGTGCACCTGTGCTAGTCCTCATTGGCAGGTAAGTTAATTAAGCCAGACCAGGGGCTCCATGAGGGCCCTATGATGGCGGATTCGCCTAAGTGCCTGAGCCTGGCACCGTCCCTTCAGCACAGTGGGGACCAAGAGAAGTACAGAAGGAAGACAGAACCTGCAACACAGTCACAAAAGAAAGAACAATGAGGAAATAGCCACACCATGCCCTCTACCTAGCGTGAGCAACCAGCCATGGGGCGCAGTACGAATAAGGATGACCTTAAGTGACCAGATGAGAAACTCACAAAAAGCTCCAGAAACCGCACAAAGGCAATTGAAATACACATACACATATACTATCACTAAGAAGGGGCCTTAAATGCATAGTAATTTACTTTCAGGTTTTGCCAGAGATCCATGAAACCATTGGGATTGACAAGCATTTAAAACTTAAGCATATGAAATTATTTATAATAATGTATATCCAGTGAGAGCAAAAAGTATTTTTGGTATCACTAAAAAATTAAAATAGAAAACAATTAATCAAAATAATTCCTTAGTAAATGCTTTTTAATTTCTATTTTCATAAATGTTTTATAATCCATAAAATATGAGTCCACTTTATAAATAAATAACTGTACATATTTAAGTGATCTTGGTTCAGAAAAAGACTGTGAAATCAAAAACACTTAAAGACTGCTAGCCCAAAGGTTATGAATTTATAAACCATGGAATGAGAAAGTCATGGTTTCTGTCCCAGCTCTTCCCCCTACTATCTGTGTGAGCCTGGGCAGTCCATCCCACCCCTGGATTTTCCATTTCACCACTGGTGAAATGAAGATAATAATAGCACTCCCATTTAATATCTATCTGTTTAATATTAGGACTGTTTGCACAGTGCCTGGCCCATAGCAAGCACTCCATAAATACCAATCCCTTTTATTATTATTTTAAGCCAGTATAGTTAACATTTAATGTTATATTAGTTTTAGGTGTACAATACAGTGATTCAGCAATTCTGTACCCTACTGAGTGCTCATCATAAGTGCATTCTAATCCCCTTCACCTATTTGACCCATTCCCCCCTCTGATAACCATCAGTTCTCTAGAGTTAAGGGTTTGTTTCGTTTTTATTTGTTTTGGTTTGTCTCTTCTTTGTTCATTTGTTTCTTAAATTCCACATGAGCGAAATCATATGGTATTTGTCTCTGACTTACTACACTTCAGGATCCATCCATGTTATACATGGCAAGGTTTCATTCTTTTTTATGGTTGAATAATATTCCATTGTGTATATATACCACCTCTTCTTTATCCATCCATGTATCAATGGACACTTGGCTTGCTTCCATAATTTGGCTATTGTAAATAATGCTGCAATAAAAGTAGGGGTGTATATGTCTTTTCAAATCAGTGTTTATATATTCCTTGTGTAAATACCCAATAGTAGAATTACTAGATCATATGGTAATTCTATATTTAATATTTTGAGGAACCTCCATACTGTTTTCCAGAGCAGCTGCACCAGTTTGCGTTCCCACCAACAGTGCTCAAGGATTCCACTTCCTCCACATCCTTGTCAACACTTGTTGTTTCCTGTGTTTATTTTAGCCATTCTGACAGGTGTGAGGTCATGTATCATTGTGGGTTTGATTTGCATTTCCCTGATACCTGATAATGAGTGACGTTGAGCATTTTTTCATGTGTCTAATTGGGCATCTGGATATCTTCTTTGGAAGAAACATCTGTTCATGTCTTCTATCCATTTTTTAAATGGATTATTTATTTTGGGGGTGTGGTGTAAATTCTTTATATATTTTGAATGCTAACCTTTCAGCATTTGCAAATAACTTCTCCCATTCAGTAGGTTGTCTTTTAGTTTTGATGATGGCTGCTTTTGTTATGCAAAAGTTTATTTTCATGCAGTCCCAATAGTTCATTTTGCTTTTGGTTTCCCTTGTCTCAGGAGACCTATCTAGAAAGATGGTGATACAGCCATTGTCAGAGAGATTACTGCCTGTGCTCTCTTCTAGGATTTTTATGGTGTCCAAGTTTTACAGTTAGGTCCTTAGTCCATGTTGATTTTATTTTTGTCTGTGGTGTAAGAAAGAAGTCCACTGCCATTCTTTTGCATGTAGCCAGCCAGTTTTCTAAATACCATTTGTTGAAGAGACCATCATTTCCCCATTGTATAGTCTTGCCTCCTTTGTCACAGATTAATTGACTTGTATGCATGGGTTTATTTCTGAGTTCTCTATTCTGTTCCATTGATCTACATGTCTATTCTGTTCCAAAACCATACTGTTTTGATTACTGCAGCTCTGTAGTATATCTCAAAATCTGAGATTGTGATACCACCAGTTCTGCTCTTTTTCAAGATTACTTTTGCTTTGTGGGGTCTTCTGTGATCCCATACAAATTTTAGGATCATTCTAGTTCTGTTGTTCTAGTTCTGTTCTAATGCCTTTGGTATTTTGATAGAGATTTCATTAAATCTCTAGACTGCTCTGAGTAGTATAGTCATTTTAACAATATTTCTTCTCCCAATCCATGAGAATGAGAGGTCTTTCCCTGTGTGTCATCTTCATTTCTTTCAGCAGTGTTTTATAGTTCACAGAGTACAGGTCTTTCATCTCCTTGGTCAAGTTTATTGCCAGGTGTTTTATTATTTTTGGTGCAATTGTAAATAGGATTATTTTCTTAATTTCTTTTTCTGCTGCCTAATTATGAGTGTATAGAAATGCAACCAATTTCTGTTCATTGATTTTGTATCCTAAGACCTTACTCAATTCCTTTATCAATTCTAGTCTTTTGGTAGAGTCTGTAGGGATTTTTAGACATAGTATCATGTCATCTGTAAATAGTGAAAGTTTTACTTCTTCCTTACCAATAATGAATCCCTTTTATATCTTTCTGTTGTATGATTGCTATGGCTAGGACTTCTGGTACTATGTTGGATAAAAGTGGTGAGAGTGGATATTCTTGTCTTCTTCCCAATCTTAGGGAAAAATGTGTTTTTCACCAATTAGTATGATGTGGGTTTTTCATCTTTGGTCTGTGTATGTTCCCTCTAAACCTACTTTGTTGAGGGGCTCCTGGGTGGCTTAGTCGGTTAAGCGTCCGACTTTCGCTTAGGTCATGATCTCGCGGTTTGTGGGTTCGGGCCCCGCGTCGGGCTCTGTGCTGACTGCCAGCTCAGAGCCTGGAGCCTGTTTCAGTCTGTGACTCCCTCTCTCTCTCTGACCCTCCCCTGTTCACGCTGTCTCTCTCTCTCCTAGAAATAAATAAAACATTAAAAAAAAAGTGGTATATTTAAAAAAGTAAAATAAAATAAACCTACTTTGTTGAGGATTTTTATCATGAATGGAATTTGTACCTTGTCAAATACTTTTT